AGGCATGGTGGCACGCGCCTGTAGTCCCAGCTTCTTGGGAGGCTGAAGCGGGAGGATTGCTTGAGCCCAGGAGTTTGAGGTTGCTGTGAGCTAGGCTGACACCACAGCACTCTAGCCCAGGAAACAGAGGGAGACCCTGTCATACACATATAAAAAAAAACAAAATAAAATAAAAGTAATAAAATATCAATCCTTACAAAAGGTTATAACTACTTGAAAAAGAGGATTAACACTACTAAAATTGAGATAATTAGACAATATGTGACTCCAAGTATGATGCAATATGAAATTTTACATCTAATTAAACTTAGATTTAACTTCAAGTCCTCAGAAAATATATAAGATAGAGGAACTGTTAAATGACATTACAAAAGAGCAATAGCTACGGAGTCCCAAAATATGTAACATTCTACAGAATAACCAACCAGATTTCTTCAATGAAACAATAGCATGGAAACAGAGGGAGAATGGAGGAAACTATTTTAGATTAATAAGGACTTATAAGAGGCTTAAGAGACCTAACCACATGCAATAAGTGAATTTTGTTTGCATCTTAATTGGAAGAAACAACTATATAAAGATGTTTTATAGATAAATATAGGCTGGATATTAGGTGATATTAAAAACTACTGTTAATATCATTAGGTGTAACAATGGCATTGTGATTACATAAGAAAATGTTTTCTTTGTGTGTGTTATTAAGTATTCAGGGTTTAAATGACATGATGTCTCAGATTGTTTAAAATACAAAAGCAAACAAAGGGAGGTAGAAGTGGCAAATAATTATGGAAAAATGAAGATGGTTTGGACAGCTGGTAATAAATTCAGGGATACTGTACTTCCTACTTTTGTTAATATTTAAAATTTTCATAAAAATATTTTAAAATATTTTTTAAAACTCATCAGAATTTTTAAAAAATTAATAAGCATTTCAATGCCTGATGACACAGTCACTAGCAAGAACAGAATTAAAACCAAGGTCTCCCACCTTTTATATCAATGCTTTTTGTATAGTATTATGCTGCTTATACAGTAGTATATCCTCTCAAAACCTTTCTGTTTTATGTTGCATAAAACCACAACCCAAAATATTCCTCACAACTTAAAAAACATACATAAGTTTCATAAGAACTCAGATTTGTATGTTATTTTTATAAACACAATCCAGTGAGTAGGATCAAGTTGATAAATAAACAACACTTACATCTTCTTCTTACCATTTTATCAGAATTTACCAGTAAAAAATTGATTCCAAATTAAATTTTAAGGATCTAGAATTATTAATTTCTAATACTTCTGGATATCTAATATTATCCTATGTTGCTATATCTACCATAAAATCCAAAGATCAACTAATAAGCATCAATGTCTTGCTACACTGAAAGTCTATAAATAATAAATACATTTTACTCACTTTTTTATGGCCATTAAGTTATACTTCATAAGTTGTCACACCACTTGAAAAAATAAATGTTTGATATGTGAAACATAAATTAATAAAAAGCCCTATAATATAGACTGTTTGATTTTTTTAAAATCAATTGTTTTTTGTTAATTAAAAAAAACTTTTTTTTTTTTTTATAGAAATGGGGTCTCGTCCTGTTGCCCAGGCTGTGGTGCAGTGGCACGATCATAACTCACTGCAGCCTCGAACTCCTGGGATCAAGTGATCCTCCAGCCTCAGCCTTCTGAGTAACTGGGACTACAGGTGTGCACAGCCATACCCAGCTAATTTTTTAAAATTTTTGTAGAGACAGGGTCTCAGTATGTTTCCCAGCCTGGTCTCAAACTCCTGGCCTCAAGTAATACTCCCACTTTAGCCTCTGGAGTAACTGGGATTACATGCTTCAGCCACTGTGCCCAGCTCCTAATTCAATTCTTTTCACATTTTATTACTTCATAAATAAAAGTCCTTCATTACTTCACGGACTATTTAGTCCAGCGGTCCCCAAACTTTCTGGCACCGGGGACAGGTTTCACCGAAGACAAATTTTTCCAAGGTTAGGGTGGGGGAGTGGGAGATGGTTTCAGGGTGATTCAAGCACATTACATTTATTGTGCAGTCAAATCTCTCTGCTAATGATAATCTGTATTTGCAGCTGCTCCCCAGCACTAGCATCACTGCCTCAGCTCCACCTTAGATCATCAGGCATTAGATTCTCATAAGGAGCATGCAACCTAGATCTGCTGCTGTTAGCCAACAAAAAATGATGATAACTAAAGCTGTAAGTTGATAAAGACACTGGTGTACAGATGAAAGTGATTTCCCATGATTTTTCAGCTTAACGAGAATATCTTATCCTGACTTAAACCATCAACCATGGATAAAGACAAGCCAGATTTAGCAATCACTTGGTCCAAATATTTTTGAAAACAAAAATTAATTTTATATCATTATTGAAAGCCTTCTAGCTTCTCCTTTAAAAAATCTTAGTTATGGGGATGAAGACTAGTATTTTGAAATCAGTCTGCTAAACTGTTAAACAGAATTAATTGTTTGAAACATTATTCTCTACTGAACTGATATCTGCTCCCTGAGGAAATTCAGGGTAAGTCTACTTTCACTTGGTTAAGACGCCCTCTCTAATATCTGAAGATACTTGCTACAGGGCAAATGCCCCATGCAAAAAATAAAAAGTCCCATTATTCCTTATCCATTCCATAAATATTAATAGCATGGTTTCCAATCCCCTCAGCAATCTACTTCTGCATGCTATCTACTTTAACACAATCTCAAAGTACACTACCTAGAAGAGAACCAGTAATCTATGTATGATGTAAGCAGGATAGAGCACAATGCTGTTATCTCCACTTATTTGTAAAACAGAATTCTACTAATAAAGACTAATAATGTATTCCTTGTTTTCTTGACGTGGCAATATACTGTTATTTATATGGACTTTAGGTTCAAATAAAACACCATGACACTAGTCTCTCCAATTCTGTAAACAAATAGTTAATTTTAATGTGTCAAAAAAAGGAAACCGCTTGATTCTTTGTTTCAACACATAATTTTCTACTTCATCCAAATCACTGATAAAAATCTTGACCAGATTAGAATATAACAGAGACGTGATATATTTTTCAAAAGATACAGACTCTGTGAGAAGCCTTGTCAAAGGCTAAAAAAACAATGAAACTCCATGTATCTCCTGTTGTCCATTTAAGTTTTTAACCTTCAAATGTAAAATATTTCCAAATGAAATAAAGAAAAATCACTTACTTGTTCCTTCTATAAGCAGTTCTTGTCCATGGCTACCCAAAAGTGTCCGAGAAAGAAAAGGTGCAAAATCCACAAAAATCTCTCGTAGAAGAGGAGCTGCCTTTTCCAAAGCATGTTCAAGCCTCTCTGTAATACTAATGAAAAGATGTTAAGTTACCTGAACTTCAATAGAATTTATCAATTTTCTACTTTTTAAAATGAAGCATGTATGTCCATCGAAATATAAATTTATGTGAAATTTCTTTTAAAATTACCTTAAGAGGCATTACTGCTATGCATAGCAGTCCTGCTTGGAATACTCATTTTTATCCTGATCTATCTTGCCATCCTCAGCCCTGACAAACAGCTGCTTAACAACCACTCCAAGCATCAGTTCTTATTGGAAGTCTTAACTGGCCAGTTTAAAGCACTTCCTTTTTAGCCCCATTATAAGAATCTAAAGAAACTCTATTGGCCCAGGATGGTGGCTCACACCTATAATCTCAGCATTTCCAGAGGCCAAAGCGGGAGGATCACCTGAGGCCAGAAGTTTGAGATCAGCCTGAGCTAAACAGTGATAACCCATCCCTACAAAAAAAAATGTTTTTTATTAGCCAGGTGTGGTGGCTCACACCTGAAGTCCTAGCTAATTGGGAGGCTGAGGCAGGAGGATCATTTGAGCCCAGTAGTTTGCGGTTACCATGAGCTATGATCGTATCAATGCACTCCAGCCTGGGTGACAGAGCAAGACCTTGACTCTTAAAAAAAAGACCAAAAACAAATAACTAAAAAAACCCAAAAAACTTCTATCAAATCTTCATCAAATTTGTCTGTTTAGCACTAAACCATCAGCACTTTGAGTTCAAGAACCATGTCTTCATTTTTCAGTTCTCAGCTTCAGCATATAGTACAGTATCAAAAAATACTCATAAACTGCAAGAAACAGTTCTTTTTTACTGAAGACAATAATTCTTTTCTAATTTAATCTGAACTATTTTTTATTTGAAAATAATATACTTTATAGGCACACTTACACTTATCTCAGTTTACATATTAAGATAAGTCTTTGTGACTATATGTACCTATATTCATAAAAACATACAGACATATATTTAAGAAGTTTAAAAAAAGAGTCCCCTGCATTTCAGGAAGTTCAGAGGCATCCACGGCTTTAGTTTCTAACTTACAAATCACATATACACAAAGAGCCACTACTTATCTACTATTTGCACCAGGAGTACTTCAAATTCACACAACCAAGAAAGCAGTTGCTACTGAAATGATCAACACAAACTTACTTAAGTTTCTGCTGTCAATAACCATCTCCTCACAGATACTACCCTAGATACTATTTCCCTCTATATACCCCATAGAACTTTTTATCCTGGATGATATCACAAATAGGAGCCTACACTCAAAGCACCCAGTGCCAACATTTGTAGAGTGCTATGGATTTTCCAATTGTAGTAAGCAAAATCAAGAACTCTCTGGCCACTAAGCCTCCAGTAGTGGAAAATACATTCACAGCATTCCAAATTAAAGTTTGAAATGCATATTGCCCATTAAACAAAGTAAGTGACAGTAAAAACCTATCTATAATTCAGTATTATTGTCGCTTTGGTGAACCGGCTGTCACTTATTAATATTACAGTATTTTCATAGAAGAGGAACAAATCCTAAACTTTCAATTTGCAATCATTTGAAACATAAACCATAAGCTTACAAAAATATTTGTTACACACATAGCAATTATTTTTACCACAAATAGTCACTTCTCATTAACCTTTTGCATCTCATAAACTTTCAAAATAAAGTGAACTTATAAAATATTCCCAAGCTTCTAAATGTTGTATATGAGGAAGGGAGGGAGGGAGGGAATATAGCTAGATAGCTTAAAGAGTCATCAAAAGGTATAAACTACAATATCCAAGTTAGTAGCTTAAATACCTCATATTTGAAACCGGGTCTTGAGAAACTGAACCAACTGCTGGAACTGAGGGCAACTTTGCATTAGATGATCTACTGCCTATAAAAGAAAAATAAACACGTAAGGAATTTTCTGTCTTTAGATACAAGGATTTAAACAAAAAGAATGTCTTTATACCAGTCAACACAAACATTGCATTTGTTAAACATCCACTGCTATTTGGATAACATTAAAAATCTAACAATTAACAAGATTTTTCTTGAATCCTTTCATATAAAAATCTCAGTTACAAGCTCAATTATCATTCCAAGCAATCTTTTTATCCATGGGCTGAAGAGGTAAGAGAAAAGCAAATTCTGATTCACTAAATAAGGTTCACAATTTCTTCTACTTAGCAACAAGTGCCAACAGAAATTTACAAGTAAAAGCAGTTTTTTAAAACAAAGCAAACAAAATAGACAGAGCTGATTCCAAATTTAGCCTTTAACAGTTATCCCTCCATTACCATAAAAACTGGTAGTTTTCAGTCATCAAAGACTTCTGCTATACCCTGATTGCTCATGAGTCTAGTCTGGTAAATATGACCCAAAGGACATCTGAGAAACCTTACTTAAATGATTCAAACAGAATTTACATTCTCTCATTTGTGCCCTCACTGTAATTACAGTACATAACCTGATGTTGCATTTGTCATACTTTATTTCAATTGGTTTTTTAAATGTTTTTGTAACTACTATACCAAACTTTTTGAAAGCAGAGCCTTAATCTTTTCATCCAGCTCTGGAGACTAAAGAACCTGACATATTAAAAGGTCCTCAATCAATGTTAATTGCAGAAATGATTCCTCTAATTATTCCTAATTCCTACATTTTTGTAGATCAATATTCCCACATGGTTTGTACTTCCCTATTTCCTACTATTAGATCATTAAATATGAAATGTCCGATTTCAAATCAAAAGTGTAGTTTATTATATCTCAAACAAGAAGCAGTACAATTAATCAAAGTATGTACCTAAACTGTAAACATCATTTTGCCACCTTAACTGTAGCTTGTTTATGCCTGGATTGGGAGTGGTGATAAAATCATGAAAGGTGTTCTCCACAGCTTGTTGAGAATTATTTTCCCTTGCAAGAAGCAATCCAAAGCCTGGAAGAAGTGGGAGTCGGTTTGTGCAAGGTCTGGTGAATACAGAGGATGACAGAGAGTTTCCAAGTCCAGCTTCTGCAGTTTGAGCTGCATTGCTTGTGTGACATGTGGTTAAGTGCTGTCTTGCAAGAGGATTGGCCTGTCTCTAGTGATCAATCTCGGCTGCTTAATAGCAAGCATCCTCATCATTTCATCCCATTGGCTGCAGTAGACATCCGCCGTAACAGATTGACCAGGTTTCATAAAGCTGTAGTAGATAATACCAGCGCTGGACCACCAAACAGACACCATTAGCTTTTTTTTGGATGAATATTCAGTTTTGGACTGTGTTTTGGCCCTTCATCCTTATCCAATCATTGTGCCAAATGCTTGCAATTATCAAAAAGAATCCATTTTTCATTACATGTAAAAATATGGTGTAGAAATAGCTCACCTTTATGTCCTGACAGCAAAGAAAGGTGAGCTTCGAGATGATTTCTCTTATGATGTTCATTTAATTCATGTGGAACCCATCTATCCAGCTTCTTTTACTTTGCCAATTTGTTTCAAATGGCCCAACATTGTTGGAATAGTAATGTCAAACCTTGCTACTAATTCACAGGTAGGTTGAGATGGATTCGCTTCCACTACAGCTTTCAGCTCATCATTATCCACCTTGGTCTCAGGTCACCCATGTGGCTCATTTTCAAAATTAAAATCACCAGAATGGACCTTCTCAAACCATCAACATACCGTGCATTAATTACTCACATCCTTCCCAGATACTTTGTTGAGGATGTGAGGGTGATCCGGCTGCAACATGTGTCATCCCATTGATCACCAGGGTTGATTCGGCTGACCTGACTGGCTAGGCGGGTATCCCCTTCCTCCCTCACCACTCCGCGTGTCTCCCCTAAAGCTGCGCGCTAAGTCGAAGAGAACAACCTTCCCAGATAGAGAAGGACCATGCTTCCATCAAGGCTATACGAGTAGCTGTGCTCCCCTGCTAGAACCTCCAAACAAGCTCCCAAATACTATGTTGATATTTCGAGCTGTCTGCACTGTACTGTTTCCACGACAGAACTCATATTCGAAAATAACATGAATTTTTTGACTTATCCATGGTTTCACAAAAATCACTTTAAAAATTTTTTGGAAAGATAATCACAAGCCAAAATGTTTGTTTGAAGGACTGAGGATGTACCTTCACAGTAAAAGTAAAACAAGAAATGTCAAATTAAAACGTCAGAGATATCAACTATCAAACTTAGTACTTAAGGAAATGAGGTATTTCATATATAATAACCTAATATTTTATGTCACTATCTTTGTTCAAACTATTGTGTATAATCAATTTCCACCATGTGATCCTATTTCATTCTTTTCAATCAATGTACCCAGATACCCTTAAATATTCTTGTATCTCCATATTATTAAATGACTAATTCATCCTCTTATAGTATAAAATGTTCAAACTGTTTTCTATTATACAAGAGTCATCTTCTTTATGTTTTCATCAAATAACTGTGCTTACAAATTTTACCTAGCAAGAGAAAAACAGTCACCAAGAAATTAACCCTGATAGAGCCAAAGAAGGTATAGGAACAAAAACAATAAACATTATGACAAAGAATGTGTAGAAACAGAAACAACATACATTATGAGAAGTCTTGAAAGAAGGAATCTAGAAGGCTAATTTGGAAGATAATTTACTGATGCCTGAAGAGTTCTAAAAATCTTAAGAAAGTAGGAAAGAAATAACTCCCTGTTTAAGAATCAAGATATAGAAGAATAGAACATCACTCAATTTAAACTAGAAGTCAGACTTAAAGAAACAGACCATTTACTTTCTAAGGCCAATATTAGGAAGAAGAAGGAAGAATGGACACATACAGCATCACATTCCCTTCTATGACACAGGGACCATAAGTATCACTGGAATCTAACTGGGATGGTATCCTGTAGACATGGAGTATGTAGGTGCAGGAGACATACACAATCATGCTTGCAGCTGCAGTACAAGAAGTCAAATTCCTGAAAGCAGTACTCTATTAATAAAAGAGTACCAAGTTAGGGTAAGTACAGACTAAAATCCCATCCCAATTCTATACAGGGACAGACCAAATAAGTAGCAAATAAATTAAGGCAAATAAAACAAAGAATATGCAAAGCTGATAAACAAGGAGGAAGGAGGAGCTCAAAGGATCCTGGAATCTATGCACCATGATGTTTCTGGTTGATTCTCCAAACTTAAGGCATGGGTATCCTGGAAGCATCTATAAGGGATAAAGTGGTATAGACAGAAAGAGAGAGAGAGAAGAGGAAATGCCCATCTTGGATGCAGAAAACAAAGATGATGAAAATAGAATGGAAGGAAAAAAGCAGCCCTCTAATGTGCCAGTCTACATCCTCAAGATTACATAAACTAGAGGAAAAATAGTTGTATAATCTAAACATAATGCCTGAGTATCATGTTGCTAATGATTTGCTTGTGGTAAAGACGAATATCTAAGAATTAAGGGGCTTACTGTGGCTTGGTTCCAAAGCCATAAGCCACAGGAAACCTCCTATATCACCCTGCCCCCAAACGAACTAGACTCAGATTGTGGCAGTAAACATAATCAAATTTAAAAGCCCAGAACTCTAAGAATCTGTAAACATGACTTGTAATAGTTGTAATAGTCATAATTATTATCAGTTATTTTCCCATTGCATCCAAAATAAAAGAATGCTATGCTTTAAAAAGAATAAAGGCCCTCTTTCCCAAACCTTCTTGAACTATTCAGTCTGAAAGCAATTAGAAACAGATCAAGGAAAACATCTGCTTCAGGTTGGAGGCTGCATTAGCCCAGACCTTATTAGAGCTCAAACAGTGTGAGGAGGGAATTTAAGTGAAAGAAGAAACTAAGAAGAACTGTAAAGTAACAGCTTGAAATTAACGGTATCTCTGTGAATTCATGGTTCCAATAGAGAGATGGAAATAACATATGTGAAGGAGAATATTTATTTTATAGGCTTTTACATATAAACTTCTTTATATATGCACACATACACAGTCCCTAACTCTGTTCACTAAGAGGACCCAGAAGCAACATCTTAAGACCTAGGTCTTGGTGTCTAAATACTATTCTCCACTAAAAGAAAAAAAATAGCTGATTTTACATCTGTGGAAGAAAACTACAAAATGAGGCCAGGCACAATGGCTCACACCTGTAATCCTACCACTTTGGGAGGCTGAGGCAGGAGGATGGCTTCAGCCCAGGAGTTCAAGACCAGCCTGGGCAACATAGCAAGACCTCATGTCTAAAAAAATTTTTTAAAAATTAGCCGGACATGGAGAGACCGCCTGCGGGGCCCGTCTCGGGGGAACCGCGGCCCCCCGAGGTCGCCGTCCCGCCACCCCGAGGTTGGCCGGGCGGACACGCACGGATGGCCCCATGCGGCACCTGCACAGCTACTGAGCGACAGTATTTAGACACATACGATGAGGCCTCCGTTTGAATCTTGCCCAGATGCTGCAAACGCCAGGCTGGAGATGAAATGAAAAAGCAAAACGGGTATTCTCAAGAAAATAATTCAGTTCAAACCAGAATGAAACACTACCAAAACTTTCTTCTAGACTACGAGCCATTCCCTCTGTTACAACATGGTGAACTTGGAACCCTTGCATGCTGCTGGCAGGAATGTAAGACAGTGCAGCTGCTTTGGAAACCAGTCTGGTAGTTCTTCCAAAGGTTAAACAGCAACTCTAAGCCTAGGTGCATACCTAAAAGAAATGAAAACGTAACGTCCTCACAAAAACTTGAACGTGAATGTTCATAGCAGCACTATTCATAATAGCCCAAAACTGGAAAAAACCTCAAGGTACATCAACTCATGAATGGATGAAGAAAACATACATCCATACAGTAGACACAGTGGGACATACTGCAGTATGACAAGAAGCATGGTTCAGGCCTGAAAAGCAGTGAA